ATCATTGTAGGGTAGATTATTAACCCACTTTGAGATCAATTATAAAAAGATTAGTAGGAAATGAAAAGAGAAAACCATCAGAAGGTAAGGAAAGCCAAATGATATAAAATAAGACCAATCTTTATATACAATCCACATAACCAATTATGGTATCTGAAAATATATATTATAAGCATATTGAAAGTTTCAAGTCCCAATGGTCTTACCTTTATTTGTGATAATAAGTACCTAAGATTAGAATAAACCCACCATATCTTATAAAACATCCTTTCGACTAAATATATAGCTTTATTAATCATTAAAGAACCTGTCAGAGAAGGCCTAATACCCTCTGCCTTACTGGGTTAACAATCTTGCCTCATTATCATTTTGAAACCTTAAACTCACTATGCTTTTCCTGAAATTATACAAATTTTTAAAAAAAGACATTTTGGGAGAAACCTAAAATGCAAATAGTATCTACAATATAAGTTCAATTTTTTTTTTAAAAGACATAAAATATGCTCTAGAAGGTAAAGTTATTTTCTTTTTGCCTCCTTAATAGCTTTCAAACTCTTACTTAAAGAACATTTTCCAAATTTTTTGCAATGAGAATATATCATTTTTAATGTCCAAAATATATTTTAGCCAAATTTGAAAGATCAAAAGACATGAGTAAAACTTTCATAATCTTATTCTAAATGTTCTCTCTCCAGTAAGCCTCCTTATGCTTAAACATTCCTGATCAGTATCTAAACACTTATACAAGACTTCATTTTTGAAGTTTTATTCCCTCTAAATACACTAAAAACAGCAAAAATTAGGTAAGTGAAACAAGGGTAACTCTTTGAATGTTCCCATCATAGGAGCACTATTTTACAAATAAAATGATCATTAAAAAATAAGAATTTTATTAATAAAAGAATTATATTCACCCTATTTCTTGAGAAGGAATAAGGAATTTTATTATTTAATATATTATTCTCACTACTTGAAAAGGAGACAATACCCTACTCCTATCAATAAGACATGGGTTTTGATGCTTTTTCTCCCTTTCCTTTTTTATTGGAGTGATGATAAATTGCATTGACCATACACACACCTCACTCTTATTGAGTGACCCTAGTGAGACTCAAACAGTAAGAAAAGACAAATACCAGCTTGATCTCTGACTACTTCAATAAAGTAGTTTGAAGTGTACCACATGCAGGGTACTATGCTGTCATGGGTTTTCTCCAAGTAAATCTGTCCAACCCATAAAGCAATATGGCTTTGGCTTCACTGACACCATGTTCTTAAGAATCTGCCTCACCCCACGACTGGATAAAAAGGCCAATGCCAGCCCATAACCTATACCATCTACCTCCTACAGCAACTCTTCATTCAATTTCACTCAACAATCCCTGCTCAACAATGACTCCTTCAACCCAAAAAAAGATAATGATCACAAAACATTTATGGAGGCCCTTCTGGTGTGCAACAGTAAGAAGCACCTGCACCCGGAGAACAGCCAAGATCCTTACTACCACTTTCTTTTTTTTTTTAAAGATTTATTATTTATACAAGCACTGGGTACAGTCAGAAGCGCGGGAGGGTGAGAGAATTCACCAGAGCCAGAGCAGGGAACAGAACAGGCAGACTGACAAAATACACTGCTGAGGGGAGCAGCGGGCGCGGCAGGAGGTCTGTCGTGCCATGTGGGACCCTCGCCAGCGGCTGGGGATCCAACCGGCACTGCAGAGGCTGCAGGCAGCTTCGCAGCCCAGCGCACAACAGCTGCGCCGCCACCGGGGAGGCCCACTAACACTTTCTATTAAGAAGCCACCAAAAGCTGCTCCACAACTTCCTTCAAAACAAAGGTTCTTCTATGTATATGAGGCCATTTTTCCCCATTATGTCACAATTACTAATTATAATGTTAAATATGAGTAACTATTCTGCCAGTCCCTGAAGTCTAAAACATATATCTTATGAAATTAAAAACATTATTTCATGGACATATATGAAGAGGAGGCATTCAATAGTTACTTTTCAAATTTATTCATTGCAATCTAAACATTACCACTCATTTGGGTCAGGCCATAATACTAACTTAAAAACAAACATTACTACTTTTCTTACATACACAGAACAGAAGAAAAGACTATCTTAAGAAATTTGTTTTTTAAATGGTAATTAAGGGCCTCCGCTGGTGGGCAGGCAGTTGAGTGCCGCACTGTGAAGCTGTCCGCAGCCTGCAGCCCCGGTTCGATCACGGCCTGCCGCGAGGGTCCCACAAGGCATGGCAGACCTCTCCTGTCGCACACGCTGCTCCCCTCAGCAGTGTATTTCGTCAGTCTGCCTGTTCTGTTCCCCGCTCTTTCTCTGGTGTATCCTCTCACCCACCCACACCTCTGGCCTGTACCCCGGTTCTTGTATAAAATAAATAATCTTTAAAAATAAAATAAAATAAAATGGCAATTAAGATATTGCCAATTTGCCCAAGCACCTTATGTCAGTAGACAAATGGAAAATTTGTGTACAATACTTTATGGAATAAAATTTCAATTCAAAAATGTTTTCTCAGAGCTGTTGCTACTCTGAGAAGTATCATTATATTTAGGCTCAGTTTCTCTTCTCTCCACTAGTCCACGTACACCTTCAATTTCATCCAACCCACTTTCCCCTAAGACAGTAGGAGAAATTAAGGACTCCAAAACTTTTTATTGCATGCAGAAGTTAGAGCTCCACCAAATTGCAGAAATAAAATGATAATCTATGCCCTTAAGGCTTTCACAATCTAATATAGTTAGAAAAAAATTTACAATCCAGTATGCTCCTGAGAAAAGGAGGGGGCAGTGTTCAAACCCTCACAAAAAAGCATCTACAAAGGCACTGAGATTTGTAAAAGTTTGCTTTTCCTGATTGTCAATGTTGTAACTCTCAGAAGATGGGTTGCAATTTTCTTTAAATAACATCGCAGATTACACTGAGATATTTAGCATTACTCTGGGAGAGCATCAAAACTTATTCAAGTATGAATATAAACACACCTAATTTTAATACTACTTTTGGAACTATTTCATTTGGCCTGGCACAGACCTTTCTGTATTTGCCAAGAATAAACACATAGCACATGCAACTAAACTATCTCAGTGGAAGACCTAGAAAGAGCTTTGGAGCCTGATATTCAGATCAGAATCCCACTAACTCAATGTTTGACTTGGCAAATCTTTCTGTGTCTCATTTCCCTGATCTGATTATAACACATATTACTTTTATTAACGTGTTTATTTGAATATTGTTTCCCTCAACTAGAATGTAAACACTTTGAAAGCAGGGTTTGCTTTGATCACTACTGTACCCACAGCACGCAACATTTAATAGGTGCTAACTATATGAGGTACTGGAGTGAATGATACCTAAAGTGAATAAAACCTTAGACTTTGACAATGAACTGTGAACTGACAATCTATGTAGCTCAGCAATCTGGCATGATCGTCATTTTCAAAGGCTTAATTATCACTTTCATTTGAAATTGAGTAAGATAATAATTGCCATATCCAAAAATAATTAATCCAAATGACCCTCGGAAATCGTTTTAATATAGTCCCTTTAATGTCAAAAACCCCTTCCTAAAAATGTACATTATGAGAAAGAATAAACATCCATTTGGGGAAATGGACTCTTCAGTAATTCATTATTCAACAAGATCTTTTCAATATAGCAGATTTTAATCCCACCTGACTTGAGCTATTTTTTACACTCTGCCTTAAGGTGTAGTATAGGGTCTGCTTCTAAAGCATCTTTCCAGTCTGATTCACCACTCCTTAAAGGTATAGATAATGGACGACCCTTCGATTGAAGATTGCTTTGTGAGCTCCTACAAGCGATGGGGTTAAGACTTAACACAGAAGAGAAGGAAAAATTCCAGGAGCCTTTCCTAACATCATCACTAGGCCTACGTTGCGAAGAATAACTTTTTTCCAGCGATGGCTTATATCTATAAATCCTAGATGGAAACTCCTAAGCAGCAAGTGAAATAAATTTGCCCCGGTCGTGTGGAAAACCATGATCCTTCCAGACAAGAACGAAAACATCAGATTTCAACGCACCCAAGTTCTGCTTAATTCGGGACTTTTCAATAGGCATTAGCACTTTTCCCTTAAAGCCGACTTAAAAGTCGCAAAACAAAACAAAAACAACAACAACAAACAAAAAAAACACACACACACAAAATAACCCTTGCTGTCAGTACCTGCACAGAAACACTTCAAGCCACACACCGATGTGTCTGGTGTGTTAAAGTAAACAAGCGACAGGAAAGCTTTAAGCTGCTTTTCAAGATTCTCGTAGCTTCCCAGACAAGACTGCCACCTGGACCCACGGCCAGAAAAGGGAGAGGAGGAGAAAATGGGGAACCCTCCGGCAGCGCTCGTCTGAAGTTTCCACCTTCACACACACCCCCTTCCCTCAGCACGGTGCCGAGCCCGCCTCGCCGGCGGTGCGGGGAGGAAATCGCCGCCGACTTCCGTCCTCCGCCGGGCAGGAATGAGACCTGCCTTCCAGCGGGGGGACCCCCACCCGCGCCGGGGACACCTCCCCGCTCCGCCGGACGGAAGTGGGGCGCGTGCGGCCCCGAGGGCTCCCCGCCGGGGCCGACCCCAGCCGGGGGCCGCGCTCGGGCCCGAGCGCCACAGCCCGGGGCGCGCCTCGCCGCTCCACCCCGGCGCCGCGGGCGGACCCGAGCGGCTCAGCCCGGGGCGACGAGCCCCGCGGCCGCTCCCGCCCCGTCCAACACGGCCGCCCGCCGGCCGGCCACCCCCGCGCGCCCCGGCGCCTCCCCGCGGCGCGGGCCGCTAATCCCTCGCGCGGCCCGCCGGCCGCCGGCCAACCGCCCGCCGCCCCCCGCCCGGCGCGGCCCCGCGCTAGGCCCCGCGGGCGGCCGGGTGAGGGGCGGGGACCGGCGTCGCGCCGCCCGGCCGCCCGAGGGGGCCCCCGCAGCCCCCGCCGCCCGCCCGCCGCCCGCCCGCCGCACCTACCATGGTACAGATGGAGGCGAATTTGGAGACTGTCATTAGGATTTCCATCCGCCCAGCGCCATCTTCCACCCAATCACAGCGGCGGCGCGGCGGGCGGGGAGGAGGGGAGCCCGGCCGCCCGCTCGCACCGCAGCCCGCGGGCGGACCCCGAGCCGCCGCGGACTCACGCGCCGAGCCTGCTCGCTGCTGCCTCCGTCGCGGCCGCCGGCGCCCCCGCACTCACCCGCCTCGGGCCCCAGCCCCGCCTGCCGGCCGCCCGCCCGCCCCCGGCTCCTCCCCAGCGAAGGGCGCAGCCGCTGCCTCGGGGCCCGCGCCTGCCCGCGAAGCCGCCCGCCGCACACCCCGCCCTGCGCGCCGGGGAGCGGGCTCCGCCGAGGCCCTAATGCCCGGCCTGCCCGGCAGCTGCGCGGCCCTGCGGCGCGCCCCGCCCACCCGCTGCGCGCCGGGCCGCCCCGCCCACCCCGCGCACGCCTCCCGGGGCCTGGAGCGCGCGAGCCGGGGAACTCCGGCACCGGCCCTACCGCGCTCGGCCGGGGGCGGGGGCGGGGCGGGGGCGGGGACTGGGCTGGCCCCGCCCCCCGCCTCCCGCCTCCCGCCCGCTGCTCTCGCGGTCCTAGCGCGCGCTCTATTCCAGCCCCCGGCGCCTAGTGGGGCGCTGGGTGCTACCGGGGCTGCAGGACGACCTGGGTAAATCCTGGAAGGGTCTGACCCACAGTCTGTACCAAGGGCCAGGAGACAGCTGATCCCTACATTCCCAGACAGAAAACGAGGGGACGACCTGGATAATTCCGGGTGGGGTGGAAGGAAATATGCTTCTGTGTAATTAAAATAACCTGAGTAACCCAACGTGGCCAAGCACTTAATAAAAATGTAAGGCGGTGTGTTTCCTATTGCATATATCAGAGGAATGCCCTGGGTCTTTCAAAACACAGTAACTTAGGAAAAGGCAGATTAGTTAAACAAAAATGAAAGGCAAAAAAGAAACTAGATATGTTTCAGGCTTTGAATTAAGAAAGGTAAGGAGTGGGGAAGAAGGCAAAGCTGCTTTCCCCTCTGCCTGTTGGCCTTAAATTTAGAATATGTTTATAAATACCGTATCTAAATATATTTGTTCCAAAAACTGAACTGCGAAATAGGGAAGATCTCAACCCAGCAGGGCTGCTGATGTTCCAGAGACAAGCAGTTTCACAAGTGAGAAAAATGTCCTGTGAGAAAGAGTTTTACCTAGTGGGATAGTTCCTCTTTTCTACTTGTATAAAATTCCTCATTGTACCCTATTCTTAGTGTCAGCAGCTCAGTTTTATTTCTTCCTTCTTGAGAAAATAGTTCAAGTTAGTTGAATAACTTTGTAAGTTATCATTTTAGAAACCTTGTAATATTTTTTGATTGGTGCATTTTAGTGATGGGGGGGCCCTCATTTCAGTGGGACTGAGGACCTGTGTTGAGACGAAATTCTGAAATCACATTCTTTACCTAAGAGGTTCAAAGCACTCAAAAAACAAAGCATTCAAACAAAAAGATTCCTGGTACACGAATGCTGTTTCCATAGTGATTTTCATTATAAGCTAGCTTAGGGGGAAAAATTGCAAATAGAATATAGCCAAGTCCCACAGTAACTGGCCTGGTTTTCCAGGCACCTGCCTCCATGGAAGTGGGGCCGCTCTTTTTGCCTTAATACCCAAACCACAGGTTAGTACCCTGTTTTTCATCTCCAGGCATTCAGGTGAGTGCTGGGCCTATCTTCCGGTTTCCCTGTCTAGAGTGAGAAGTATCACTCACCTGATGCGATATTCCATCCTGCTTAGGAACTCTCCCTTCCCTCAGAGTCTCCTGGGCCTCATCCCATGTCACCATGTTCCTGGACCTCATCTGTTCCCACCTATTTGATTTGTCTCACCACCTCTTTGATAAATGTCTATTGTCCTTCCCACTTGCTAGTCTATTCCAGCCAACAGGTGTAATGTGTAAGAACTTGAGCTCTACCGCCACTCACACTGCCCACCAGCATGCCTCCCTATCCATAAACACTAAAACATCATAGGAAAAGAGGCCTCTAGCTTTACACATAAGTTTATGTGAAAACAAGACTTCTTTTCCATGATTTCTGATAGAATTATCTGGAGTTGCGGCTAGTTGAAATGAGAGTGGCCTGAATTGACAGGTGATAGACATAGATCCTAATGCAGAATGTCATCAGTCATTATCTGATCAGAGAGAAGTTGATCAGAGAGAAATTCTTCTGTGTGTTCAGCACTGTGCTGGAATGTTTTGGGCCATATCTAATGCAATTAAAGAGATTTGGCTAAAACACCACACATTTCCATCTAGAGCTTGCAAAGAGTGATGTAGGCTTAGAAAACAGTTGTTACCTACAGCTGCATCAACTTTATAAAGAGCTTCAATGTGTCTGCGGAAAGATGGGTTTTTGGACAATTGACTTCTTTTGAGCCTTCCTGGGTGGGTAAGGTACAAAATACACCCAGATAACTTCAGGAACCCAGCAAGCAAACAAATGAAGGCCAAGCTTAATCTATTTAGCTAACATGGTGTTTTCCTTTTTTTTACATATATATGCTTTTACACAATCCTGTACTGTTTGCTTCATTCCAACCACTTCATGTTTTCTGTTACTCACCCTGTCTCCAATTAACCATGAGTCACTTCATAAGGTTCTGCCATCTCTCTTCTGCCCGAAGCCATTTCATTTTGCACCAACTAACATAAATGAGTGAAAATGCCTGCGATTGGGATGGGAAAGAAAGTGTTGGAGAGAGGGATAAAGAGAGAGTGTAAGATATCCATAATTACAGGTAGTGTTTATCAAGAGCTTATCTGTGTACTAGACATTATAGCAAATCTTCATAACAACCCAGTGAAGTACTATTATCTCCATTTTCTAGATGAGGAAACTGAAGTCCAGAGATAAAATTTCCTAAAGTTGCATAACTAATAAGTGATTTGAACAAAATTTGAACAGACTCCAGAATTTGAACATGACTCCAGAGGTCATACTTCCGTCCACTCTGCTGTACCAACTCATGTAAATGACTCATTTTATTTCTGGGAGTTTAAGATTGAAAGGCAAAGAGTCCTTTGAAACCCACTGCAAGTTTTAGTCACAAAATTACTCATAGATACTTCTTTTTTTTTTTTAAGATTTATTTATTTATGCATACAAGAGATGGGGTACAGGCCAGTGTGGGAGGTGAGAAGATCCACCAGAGACAAAGTGGGGAACAGATCAGGCAAATTGACCGAAATATGTGGGTTGCTCCCTATCAGGCCAGGGGATCGAACTCGTGCAGCAGAGGCTGCGGACAGCTTCATAGGCTTCGTCCTAAACCCTTGTACCACCAAGGAGGCCCTCAAATAGATATTTCTTTCTGTCACTTTCCTTGAAAATAAGGGTAATTATTTTGCCTACCTCAGAAGGGTGTAATGAGGATGAAACACAGTGATATCGAGTTAGTGCTCGGCACTCAACACAAACTGGAGAGCTTGGAGTGGCCATTCACAGTCAACATTTTAAAGTCAGGTTGGGTAAATACTGCCCTCTGACTTGCCAGTTTCCACTCTCAGATTTAATGAGCCACTGCTATGTTTTACGTACCTAATTCATATTTTAGATGCATTTTTCTAATGTGACTCAATGCCTTTGGAACTTAATTATTCCCTGCTCATTTTGCCACATTCACCACAGCATTGCCCAGCCAAACAGAGCCAGAGATCACACCCAGACCCTCTGATTTGAAAAATCATGAACTCTCCCCTTCTTTCCCTGTCCATTGACATTTGAATGAATTAGTCCCTCTTGGTAGCTTTAATTAACATCATCCAGCTGTCAGGGGTAGATGATAATCAAAACAATGATGTCCTTTTGTTGTTTTGAATCAATAAATCAGTGACATATTTCACAGTTGGCTTCTAGTTGAGAGGAGTAAGTGAAGTTATCTGCACGATGAATATATGAATGATTTGCTGGGCAGGATGGCATTTAGTTAAAATAGCTTAAACTTTCTCATTATTTAAATCTAGGTTTAAAAGAAGAGGGCCAAAGACACAGCCTATTATACTCCATTTAAAACTGAAACGTGAGTTCAATTTATTAAAACAAAAATTTATCAATTGTCTACTGATGAATAAGAGAAATCTTCACCTTCAGGAAACACACAGTTCATTGGGGTAGACAAATAATTTTTATGGGAAATGAGTGGAGAGAATGAAGAATCTGTGCTACCAGCTTCAAGGAGGTAGGAGTAGCTCAGCCTGCTGGAGGGACAAGCTAAGGACTGCTTCAGAATCTGAATGAATAAGATGAATAGTAGGACAGAGGAGAAGGCAGTGGTCTCCAGGGCAGAGGGAAAGTCGAATGCACAGACCCCATAAGAGCTTGGGGGTATGTCTAAGGCTGTCACATGGGCGTATTATAGGGAGTTTGTAGAGATGAGTGTGTAATGTCAAAGGGACAATCTGAACACAGTGACATTAGCAAAGGTATGGTCACTGGGCTCTCTACTGTCATACCCATCAATAATAAGTGGTAGGATGAGCTTACCTTGAAACCTGTTGCTCCTTTACAATGTCAGTTTTGATTCCCAGTACTTCAATTCGTTGAGACTACACAAGGCAGGGAATTTCAAGGAGACATTAAACTAATAGGCCTATAATTGGGAGGAAAACCTTGACCTCTTGTGACCACAGTAGTGAATCAGAATATTTTCAGAATATTCGTACACTTAGCTCCTCATTAAGACTATCCAGATGCCGGAGAGGATGGCGCCATCATTCCAGTTGTTGAGAACAAGTCCAGAAGTTGCTGAACTTAACTTGAGAGGGGATACCTTTACAAACACTGTATTTCACCTCCCCTTTCTTCTGTGGAAAGAGAACAGAGTGTAATAAAACGTAGACTAGGGCCTCCCCGGTGGCGCAGCGGTTGAGCGCTGGGTTGCGAAGCTGCCCGCGGCCTCTGCGGCGCCGGTTCGATCCCCGGCTGCTCCCCGGCCACCAGAGGAGGGTCCCACATGGCGTGCAGACCTCTCCTGCCGCCCGCTGCTCCCCTCAGCAGTGTACTTCGGTCCTTCTGCCTGCTCTGCTCCCCGCTCTGGCTCTGGTGAATTCTCTCACCCTCCCGCGCTTCTGACTGTACCCAGTGCATGTATAAACAAAAAAACAAACAAACAAACCAGCAAACAAATAAATAAAGCATGCCT